CGTGTCACCTTGTGGCGCTGGTGGCCGCCGAAGGCGATGCGCCGCGCGTCCTCCACGTTGTCGCACACGAGCGCGTTGCCGCACGCGAACTGGAGGGCCTTCTTGATGTGCGGCGGCTCGTAGCGGATCACGTCCAGCACCAGCTTGGCGCCCCGCAGCTCCCGCAGCTTCTCGTCCGTGGGCTTCACCTGCACGGACACGGCCCCAAAGGGTCACCAGCATGTCCCCATGGGGTCCTTGTGTCCCCACAGGGTATCTATGGGGTCCTCGTGTCCCCCATGGGGTCCTCATGTCCCACATGGGGTTCTCATGTCCCCATGAGGTCCTGGTGTCCCCACAGGGTCTTTATGGGGTCGTGTCCCCCATGGGGTCCTCGTGTCCCCAGTATCCCCATGGGGTGGCTCGTAGCAGATCACATCAAGCACCAGCTTGGTGCCCCACAGCTCCTGCAGCTTCTCGTCCATGGGCTTCACCTACATGGACATGGCCCCAAAGGGTCCCCAACATGTCCCTATGTCCCCAAGGGGTCCTCATGGAGTCCCTATGGGGTCATCGTGTCCCCCATGGGGTCCCTGTGTCCCCAAGGAGTCCCCATTTCTCTGGACTCGAGCGGCAGGAAGGTCTCGGGCTCCCCGTGCTGCTCCTTGATGTACTGGATGCAGTGGCCCCAAGTGGCCCCATGTCCCCAGTGTGTCCCCCATGTCTCCAAGGTGTCCCCAAGGTCCCCACCTCCAGGTAGTCCAGTGGCAGGAAGGTCTCAGGCTCCCCGCGCTGCTCCTTGATGTACTGGATGCAGTCGCGTCCCGTCTTCTCAGAGTCCACGATGATGGCATCCATGTTCTTGCCCAGCACCTTGGTCACTGCAATCTGGTACTTCTTCTGGGTGGGCTGGCACAGGTCGAGCAGGCGGCCATACTGGGGACAAGGGACATGGGGACATCATGGGGACACCACAGGGACATAGGGATGTCATGGGGACACTATAGGGACACGGGGATGTCATGGTGGCCCCATGTCCTCCTGATCTGGTTCTTCTTCTGGGTGGGCTGGCACAGGCTGAGCAGGCAGCCATACTGGGGACAAGGGACATGGGGACATCATGGGGACACCACAGGGACATGGGGATGTCATGGGGACACCATAGGGACATGGGGACATCATGGTGGCCCCATGTCCTCCTGATCTGGTTCTTCTTTTGGGTGGGTTGGCATAGGTCATACTGGGGACAGGCAGCCATACTGGGGACAAGGGGACATCGTGGGGACACCATAGGGACATGGGGATATCATGGGGATAGGGGGACACAGTGGACATCATGGTGATGCACAGGGATACAGGTACATGGGGACACAGGACACCTGGGGATGACAGGGACACAGGGGACATGGCCTCACCCCCTCCATGGCCACTTGTCCCCAATGTCCCCCGTGTCCCCACGCACCACGGAGCCCGGGTAGAGGCGCTTGATGCTCTCCATGATCCGTGTCCCCAACGTCTCCCATGTCTCCAATACCCCAAATGTTCTCCATGCCCTCAATGTTCTCCATGTCCCCAATGCCCCCAATGTCTCCTCAGCGTCCCCGTGTCCCCACGTACCACGGAGCCCGGGTAGAGGCGCTTGATGCTCTCCATGATCTCGGCCTTGCGCTGCTGCCGGCTGCTTTCCTGACGGTCGATCCGTGCGTCGCCCAGCTGCTCCATGACCTGGTTGAGCTCCTGGTTGATCTCGTCGATACGGCGCTTGGCGCCGTCCACTTCAGCCGTGAGCTCCCCCTCCAGGCGCTTCTGCTCCTCCAGGGACTGCCTGGGGACACGGGGGCACATGGGGACATGGGGGACACATTGGGGACACCTTGGCGACACCCTGGGGACACCTTGGGCACCTTGGTCACGTGCTGGTGGCAATGTACACCCTGGAGACACTTTGGGNAGACACATTGGGGACACTTTGGGAACACCCTGGGGTCCCCTTTGGGATACGTTGGGGACACCCTGGGGACACGTTCGGGACAATTTGGGGACACGTTAGGGCCACCTTTGGGAAACCTGGGGGACAGTGTGGGGACATTTGGGGACATCGTGCACTTGCTGGTGGCATTGTACACCCTGGGGAAACCCTGGGGAGAATTTGGGGACACCTTGGGGACATCTTGGAGACACTTGGGGACACCTTGGGGATATTTTGGGGACCCACTTGGGACCCCCTGGGGACACGGCTGACTTGCTGGTGGTAACGTACACGCTGGGGACACCTTGGGGACACCCTGGGGACACTGTGGGGACCCTTTGGGGACATTGCTCACTTGCTACTGGGAATGTACACCCTGGGGACACGTTGGGGACAGGTTGGGGACATGCCTCACTTGGGGACAAATTTGGGAGACCTTGGGGACACCCTGGGGACACCTTGGGGACATTGCTCTATTCCTGGGGGCAATGCACATCCTGCGGACACGGGGGGGACACGCTGGGGACACCTTTGGCATACATAAGGGACACCCTGGGGACACTTTGGGGACACTGCTCACTTAGTGGTGGCAAGGGACATTTTGGGGACATTTGGGGACATCGCTCACTAGCTGGTGGCAACGTATGTTCAGGGGACACCATGGGGACACCTTGGGGACAACATTGGGACACCCTGGGGACACCTTTGGGACACCTTGGGGACACTTTGGGGACACCCTGGGGACAACTTGGGGTCACTCTGGGGACACCCTGGCGCAGTTTGGAGACATGTGGGGACATCACTCGCTAGTTGGTGGCCATGTACATCCTGGGGACACCATGGGGACACTCTGGGCACGCCTGGAGGACTCCTTTGGGGTCATTTTGGGGACCCTTTGGGGACAACGCTCACTTGCTGCTGGCAATATAGACTCTGGGGACACCCTGGGGACACTTTGGGGATGCCCTGGGGACACCTTGGGCTCATCTTGGTGACATTTTGGGGACACTTTAGGCAAAATTTGGGGACATCGTTCACTTCCTGGTAATGTACACCCTAGGGACACTTTGGGGACATTTGGGGACAGTGCTCGCTTGCTGGTGGCAACATACGTCCTGGGGACACCATGGGGACACCTTGGGGACAATGTGCGGATACCCTGGGGACACCTTTGGGACACTTTGGGGAATCCTTGGGGACACGTCTGCGACACTCTGGGGACACTTTGAGGACATTGCTCACTTGCTGGTGGCAAGGTACACGCTGTAGACACCTTGGGGACACAGTGCACACCTTGAGAACACAGTGGGGACACGTTGGGGACACCCTGCAGACACCTTTGGGACACACTGGGGACACCCTGGGGACACCTTTGGGGAACCTGGGGGCAGTTTGGGGACATCTGGGGACATCGCGCACTTGCTGGTGGCAATGTACACCCTGGGGAAACTCTGGGGACACCTTGGGGACACCCTGGGGACACCTTGGGGACATCGCTCAGTTCCTGGGGGCAATGCACATCCTGCGGACACCGGGGGAACACGCTGGGGACACCTTGGGGATACATAAGGGACACCCTGGGGACACTTTGGGGACATTCGGGGACATTGCTCGCTTGCTGGTGGCCATGTACATCCTGGGTACACCATCGGGACAAATTGGTGACAATGTGGGGACAGCCTGGGGACATCTCTCAAATTCTGCTCACAAGGTACAGATTGGGGACATCTTGGCGACACATGGGCTACACCTTCAGACACATTGGGGACACTTTGGGAACACCCTGGGGTCCCCTTTGGGATACGTTGGGGACACCCTGGGGACACGTTCGGGACAATTTGGGGACAC